GTCCCAGAGTCTGCTGGGGCGTACCTTTGGACCCATGTCTTTTTTTTTTTTTTTTTTAAGATTTTATTTATTTATTTCACAGAGAGACAGTGAGAGAGGGAACACAAGCAGGGGGAGTGGGAGAGAGAGAAGCAGGCTTCCCACCGAGCAGGGAGTGTGATGCGGGGCTCAATCCCAGGACCCTGGGATCATGACCTGAGCTGAAGGCAGATGCCCAACGACTGAGCCACCCAGGTGCCCCTGGACCCATGTCCTGATGCACATGATTGTTTCTTCGTGGGGTGCCCCAACGTTGGGAACAGTTTTTAATTTTTCAAAAGTTTTACCAAAAGCTGCCAGCGCCCAGCCCACCGCTGCCCCAGTTCTGGCTGATCTGCAAGGCCCAGCCCAGCTATCCGAACCGCAGCCCCTGGCTCCAGCTACATAGGTGGTGGTCTGGACTGGCCAGCCCTCTGACCCCCACTGGATCCCACTTGCTGCTTCCCATGCTCAGCCCTGAACTGAATCACACTGATTCCTTTCTAGCCTGTGTCATCTGTGCGCCCCCCCATGCTGTGCACACAGGTGCCCCTAGTTCTTGGCCATGGCTCTCAGTCATGCCTTGCTCAGCTGCTCTTTCCTGCCCCCACTCAGGGTACAGGTCAAGGTGGGAGGAGCTCCTATCAGGACTTGTAGTGTTTGTGTGTCTGCTGGTACCTGAAGGGGCCTAGACCTGGTGCAGGGTGTGTGGCTGGAGCCGGGGGGTAGGGGGGTGCTAGGCTGCCTGTGGCTGTGGTGGGGGAGGGTGGACTCTGGCCTGGGTCTCCCTGTCAGCACTGGAGGGCCACACAAAAGTGTCGAAAGCAGAGGCCCAGCCGAAGTGGGGTTACCACACTTGGGGGCAGCACAAGGAAAGTCTTAGGGTTGCAGCTTTGCTCTCCCTGGGGCGTGGGGGTTACCGCAAGGACGGCCCAGACTGGCCTCCAGGCTGCTGGTCAATAAAGGAGCTTGGTGTGGCCTCAGCAGGTCACTTCCCTCCCCATAACCTACGGCGGGTCTGGCTGTGGCCTTGGCCGTTTTCTGGCAGAGTCAGTCTCTGTTTCACCAAATTCTCATGAAGAACTTCTACCCGGGTAAGGTTAGGCTGTCAGTGAATGACAGACTCACCTCCCCAACCCAAATAAAACTGCCCGGTCTGGGAAGGTGCCTGGCAGGCAGAAACTGCCACACTGTCCCCTTCCAGAAGGTGGGGAAGCTCACACGCTGCACACCAAGCAGGAGCTGGGCAGTGGGGGCCCACCAGGCCACATGTCCCCCTCCAGGGTCACCTTCCTCGTTACTTGTCCCCACAGGCCACGGCTCCACTAGTCTGCTGTGTGCATCCCTGAGAGCCGCCAGTCCCCTCACTGAGTCCCTGCAGCCCCTCAGGCCCCTAGATTGGGGTGGGTAGTCGTACTGACCAAGGTCAAACCTGCAGAAGTCCAGACTGCCCTGTGCTGGCCTGGGTGGGCAGACAGGCTAGGCCACTGTGGAGGGACCCGGCCCTCTAGGAGCCCTTGGGCAAGCCCCCTTGCTCGTGTGTTTCTATGACAGCCCAACCAGTCAGGGACCATGGACATGAGGGTTGACCATCACCAGCTATAGATGAAGAGGTCCCTTGGTACCCGGGCATTGGAGGCCCCTGACAAGTGTGACCATCAACACCATGGGGTCCCGAGGCCCAGGAAGGACACCTGAGGTTAGGAAGGGCGTGGCCCAGTCCATGGCTCTGTGTCTGACCCCTCACCTGGAGGGTCTTGCCTGAGTCCTACTCAGGTGTGCACTGGCTTGCAGGGTGGAGGATGTGGAGAGAACAGGCAAGTCTTCACATCTCCCTGCTAGGAGCCCAGAGGAGCTGTTGTGAGGCCTACCCACATACACTGTCTTTCCCTCTGGAGCCTGGGCTCCAGATCCCCTTGCACACCAACTTGCTCAGCAGCATCAGCCCTATGCCATCTGGCACTCTCTGCCACAGTATGCCAGAGCCCTCCCCAAGCTCTCTTGAGCCCCAGAGTGGGGCTCCCACTGCTGGACCCTCCAGCACCTCCAGCTGACTCAGACCTATGTCCCCACCCACACCTCATCCCTGGACAACACCTGTCTGCTGGTGGTGTCCAGCATGGGGGTGGGGAGGGCCCTTGAGGCTGGGGGCTCACTCCTGTGACTGAGCCACTTGGGGTGGGGCCAAGCCAGTGTGGAGAAGTCTGGGACCACGTCCCCAGGCTGGCTGAGCAGCTTCGGTGCCATATAGTTCTGGGCCCAGCCTGGCCCACCCTGAGCCCATTCCCTTGGATGTGCAAGCCCTGTGGACCTGTGTACCAGATACCCCCTATTTCCCAGGTCCCTCTGACCTTGGCAGTGGCTTCCTCAGCAGGCCCTGGGCCCCTGCAGTCCTGGCCTCTTTGCAAAGATTTGGGGCTCACAGCTGCTCCTCACAGACCTGTGGCTGTTGTTCACTTCCTCTTTTCTCCAGCAAGTGTGGGCTGGACGTGGGCCAGGAAGTGGGATGCAGCTCCCCAGGGCTCTCAGGTGGATCTCGTGGAGGCCTTGACTCTGCCCCTGTTTGTGCGGAACCAAGAATGTTTGGACTGTCACAGAGATGGGTGTAGGTTTGCTCCGCCATGGTCAGTCCTTGGGGTGATGCTGCCTCGAGGCCTTGATGAGAAGCCCTGGTCTTGAGACATCTGGGAAGGCCTTACCAAGGGGCTGGTGCTGACGGACCCAGGGGATGCAGGCCAAGGGATGAGCGCAGGTGTGTGGTTAGTTTCTGCAGGGTTGGAAAGTGCTTGGTGTGACTGAAGTCCCAAAGTCCTGTTGGGTTGGGGACATGGGTCTGTGAAGCGACAGGGCCAGGCTGGGCCTCTGAAGGCTCTTGAGAGGGGACTGTGGGAGTCTGTGTGTGTGCTCAGCAGGTTGATGAAAGTGGAGGAGGGTTTGACAGGCCCCTTGGGGTCTCAGGTGGATTGAGAGCTTGGCTCTGTCCCCCTGAGTATGGGGAGTTCCCCCTGCCCTTTCTCCCACTGCCCTCACCCATTATATTCTCACCAGATGGCCTGGCCTTCAGCCTCTGGGGCAAGCCTGACCTGAAATCCTCCTCAAAGTAGAGGCTGCAAAGACATTGTTCCTGCCTCCACCAGGTGGTCAGGCAGGGCATGGAGTGGGCTGGGACATGCCCCAAGAGAGGGACCTGGACCCTTCACACTGGACGTATGTGAAACACACACACACACACACACACACTCAACAGCTGGTGCAGGAGCAGGGTCCAGTCATGCCTGACCCGACACTCCGAGGGGACCCTGGTGTGGGCCCACGGCGGCACTGCCTGCTCCCTCAGCAGTCAGGAGTGGCTTGGGGGTGGCGGTGTCTAAAGGGGCTGGTTGCCATGGCTACCATAGGGTTCTGAGGCCGTCATCTGGTCCCTGCCTCAGCCAATCGGCAGTGGGAGCCCGAGCTGCAGCCCAGAGTCACACTTCTTCCTCCCAGCCACACAGTGGCCAAGAGCAGGGACCCGCGTCCTGGAGTGGCTGAAAGTGCTCAGACAGACGGCCAAGCCCATCATGGCGGACCGCGGGATGGTGGGGCATGAGCAGGCGCCTGGAGCCAGGCAGGTGAGGTAAGCCGGGCGGGCAGACGGATGGACAGACGATCAGGCGGACAGGTGGATGTGCTCCCTGCTGCCCATTGTTCTTATGGCTGAGGCCCTGCCCTCAGCCCACCCTGCCCTCTGCACCCTCGTGTGCACACTCGCACACACACCCGCAGCCTCACCCTTACCCCGGGACCCTCTCCCCAAATGTCCCAAAGAAGGGTCATGGGAAGAGAAACAAAGGGAACCGCACGAGGCAGGATGAATCCCACTGCACCGTTGGTCCCGAAAATCGTTCTCCCATGTCTTTCACTCGGATTTCACATGGAGGCGGCATCAAAGACCCCCAACTGGCCAGGCCCTCAGTGTGCCGGCCACCTGGTCCCTGGCCCGGCCCCGCTCGCAGGGCTGGGCCACAAGCCACGTCCAGTCAGTGCTGTTTAGGGAGCATTTTTTTTTTTTTTTTTTGAAAGGAAAGAAAACGAGAAAGGAAAAAAATGTCCACCTGTACCGGGGAGTGGCCAGACCAAGATGGATCAGAAGTGCCAAATCCCATTACTCGGGACTTTAGTGGACAGGCCCCGAAAAGGCAGCTGCGATTAGGAGCTTGTAAATGGAGCGTCCTTTGGAGATCAAAGAAGGACATGCTTGTGTGTGTGTGTGTGTACGTGTGTGTGAGTGCACGCGTGTGTAGAAATGTGCACCGCGCGGCAGCGTGGTGGGGCCTGGCATGTCACCTGCCCGCCACGATTACCCTCCATGTTGCTCATGTCCTTGCTGCTGTTTGCAATGTGTGGATGTGCCCGGGGGGCAGGGCTGGGTATAGCAAGGCCTGGTCCCCACCACCCACGCCTGGCCTCGGGCAGCGGGCCCTTTGGAAGGCGGTCCTGGCTGGGCCTTGTTCCCCTACCTAGGTCTCTTCTACCTTCCCCTAGAATCTGGTCTCGCCCCCAAGTTTGGCCCAGATGGGCCTGGCAAGAGCACAGGCCTGGCCGCTGGCAGAGTGGAGAGTAAGGACAGGCGGCGGCTCCCTGTAATCACCCTGACCGCCATCCCGTTGCCCGCAGAGGCCGAGAGCTCCCAGATGGCCTGGCGAGCATGTCCTGAGGTTCAAAGCCTCTGTCGGCACAATTGTTGGGTTATTAGGTAAACTCTGGGAAGCAAATCTTTTAATCCACTGTGGCTAATCCAGTGCACTTTTGTTTGCTACGACAGATTCTGCAGCAACAAAGGGCCGGAGGGACCCCGGCATACATAATCACATACTTCTCATGTGGCTGCAGCGGCTGCAAGGCTCCTAGGCAGCCAAGAGAGACATCTCTGGACAGCACAGTGGGGGGCAGGTGGCGGACAGGCCGATCTGGAGGGTGTGGGTGTGGGCACGGGTAAAGGCAGCCGGCCGTCTTGGGAGGGCACCTCCCTGCCTCCCCATTACCAGGCCTCCTGGCTACCAGCTCAGGGGGCTGCCCCTGGCCCCTGGGGTTGCACAGGCTTGGTGGAGCTAAATGAGGTATGTCAGGTGGAAGGAGAAATGAGAGCCAATAGCCGAGCGAGGGGCACTGAGCTCCTGGCGCTGGGAGAGAGAGGCCTTTGGGGACGGGGCGGTCAGGTCAGGGAAGGACAGTCCAGGTGAGGGAATAGCAGAGACAAAGGTGGCAGTCGGCCTTATGTCACGGTTAGTATAGCGGCAGGGCAGGTATGCCCAAGACCAGAAGGGGAAGTGACCTGAGGCCACCTGGGAAGCTAGGACCTCAGCGGCTGCTTTTACCAGGTGGGCTGAGGCCCCTCAGGAGCCTGGCCCCTCCACTCAGACATTTCCCTTCCTGAGAAAATGGCGTTGGGGGCAGGGAGGACAGCAGGCCCTTCCTTCTTTGGCTTGGGCCACTGCCAGTCAGGCTCGTTGACAGAGGGTGGCCCACAGACCTCTGGGGCCAGCAGAGTTGGGTCAGGACCCTTTGCTGAGGAGAGGTGCCCGCCTTGCCACAGGCAGACATGTCCCCAGGGAGGCAGGAGCAGGGTCAGCCCTAGCTGCACCCCTACATCCCTGAGGCTCCCAAATTGGGGAGGTGCTGGGCTGGTGATGGGCGGGCTGCTCTCTCCTCCTCTCTCCTCCTCTCTCCCAGGCCCCTGTGGCTGGCAGGGACCACCCAGACCTCGCTCAAGTACTGTCCTCCAATCGTGAGCCTACTCCACCATCTCTGAGACCCCCAGACACATCCCCAGGGTCAGAATTCTCCAGGGGGCAGCATGGGAGGATGTCCTGCTGTAGCCCTCAGCCTGGAGTGACAGGAACCCCGTAGGACGCTGGGGGTGAGCCCCAAGTTGGGCTGGGTGTGGATGGCACCTGGGGCCATAGGCCTGCAGCCATGCCACTGCTTTCCTGTTGGCTTTGAGACCTGACCCTGGACACATGGGGGCCGGCAGGGATGTGGGGGCTGCGTCAGGTCTGCTGGGGGACATGGGACAAGCACAGCATCAGCCAGCTCGGCCTGGAGCCCTGGACTGCCGAGCCAGTGGGGACAAGCACAGTGACCACAGCGGCTGTTTCTGAGGGCACCGCCCCACGCCTGCCTCACTACCTCTGCCATGGGGCCTCCTAGCCGAGGAAAGGGGAGAGCACAGTAATGTGAGGCCAGCCCTGAATGCAGCTGACGACGGCTCCTAGGAGCAGGGCCTATCAGGGGAAGGTGACCTGCAGCAGCAGGGGGAGAAGGTGACAGTTACGCCGGGTCTCATCAGCACTGAGCTGAGGCTGGAGCCAGCTCGTCTGAGGGAAAGCCCTGATCTCATCCACTGATCTTAGAGAGGTGGTGCCTGCTGCAGAGCTTCATGGTTCCCACACATTCACGACAGTCACATGCGTGCAGAACTGCTTCCTGAGTGCATAAAGGAGGCAACGGAGCACTCCCCCCCCCAACTTCTGCACTCCAACAATAACTAGTATTAATACTCTGGAATAGTCTTTTAGTATTCTTGACTTTATACGCACATTTTCTAAATTCACAAAAACGGGCACCCTGTATGTGTGGTCTTGTAGCTTTCTCCTTGGTGTTCTATCTCATGGCCTTGGTGTGATGTCTCTGCATCCTTTTGGGGGCTTGGGATGGGGACACAAACAATACCCAGCCCTCCCCATTGAGCTCAGAACTGATGGAGAAAGGACACTCAGGGATGATGAATGGAGCCCGGGGGCTGTGCTTATGGCCAAGAAGGCGGCTAGCCAGTGTGACTGGGGCTGTGCCTCCAAAGTGAAGCCCACACCATACTCGTCAGAACTGGATGAGCCTCCCTCCCCCTCGGGGCCTTGCCTGCCCACCCACCGCCCCCTCCCACACCTGTGGACAGGGCAGAGGGGCAGGGAATGGAGAGCCCAGAAGGGACTCAGCCTGAGACTCCTGTCTCCCTCCAGAAGCCCAAATCAGAACGGTCCCTCCTGTCCTCCCCTCCCAGGAAGACAATGGGGATGTGCCGCCCAGTAACCCATCTCTGCAGCTTTTCCTCTGCTGCTGGTTTTCATCATCACACATCGGGCCATGCTGGACGCGCCTCAACATCCTCCTTGGTGCATCTTGGATGATTTCTTTGAATCACTTTTTATAAGTGGTCTTCCTCAGCCAAGTGGACGAACACGTGTAAGGCTTCAAAGCTCCCTTTATTTCAAAATACTCATTTTATGTCTGAGTTGAAGAAAATAATTTCATTTCTGCTCTTAAGTTTTTCATGTAGTTCCTGGAAAGCCTGAACAAATGTCCTCTATGGTTCATCAAATCAAAGCCTCTAGTGGCAAACTCCAGAGCCCCCTTGACTGGGAAGGTGAAAAAAGGGTGCCCCATCGAGGAACTCACCCGTTCCGAAGTGAGGCTCCCGTGGTTCTTTGTCTGGTTTCACATCTGGGGGTCTGACACAGTCCCCTCCAGCTCACCCCTATTCCCACCCGGCTCAGACAATCACCCCTCCATGCCCACAGTTGTAATCCACTGTAGCTGGGCCATTGCATTTCCTCCAGGCCTTCTGACTCCCTTCCTGTCCCTGCAGGGCTGGGGCCCCAAGGAGCCAGGGGCCCCAGGGTCCTGTTCTGGTCCCAGGGCCTGGGGACACCAGCCGCCATGGGTCAGGAGGAGGATGGATATGGACACAACCCTGGGAGCCTGGCCTGGCCACAGCAGCAGCTCTGCAGAACCAAGGCAAGCATTGGGGACCCGTGTCTGGGGAGGGGGAGGCAACTTGAGGCCAGTGTCTGGGAGTTCTTGCTGTCTGTCCAGCCCACCCAGGACTCTTACACCCCACAGAGACCCTGCTATGCCTTGAAGGCCACTCACTGTGTCTCATCTCCTCTAAGACTCCTAGGCTGAACAGAGTTGGGGAGGACCTGCACTGTGGGGCCTGGGGCCATCCCAGCTAGATGCTGGTGAGACCCCTACTGCTAAGACCCTAGTGGGGCCAGTGTGGGTTCAGTAGTATAGCTCCTCCCCTACAGCCCCAGCCCTTGCCCAGCCTTCCCTGAGGCATGGTGATGGCCCTGGGTGGCCTGGGCCCTTGGTAGGCTGGGGATGCTTCCCTAGTGGCCCCCATCCCTCATTGCCCCCCTTTCCTACGAAACCCTGGATGCTAGGCTGAGCCCTCAGAGAGGCAGGCTGGCATGCCTCCATACCTGCTCCTCCCAGGCAGGCACCACCCCTGGGTGGCTGGGTGGCAGCTTGGTGGGTGGCTCATGGAGCCCTGAGCCAGGACTTCTGCACTGGTATGGGGATTAAGAAAGAGGAGGATGGGTAGTGAGGGTGAGCAGTGTCCAGGAGAAGATGTGGTGGCCTATAGCCCTCCCCCGGGGGCTACTGGGAGCATTTCTTGAGGTGCCAGGCCCAGCATGGCTCTGTGCAGCGCAGGGTCCAGGTGGTCATGGCAGGGGGATGTGCCAGAAGCAGTTCCTTAGGGGCAGTGATAAATTTTTGGCCCACATCCTTCCCTCATGGAGGGGCCAGTGATGGGTGGACAACATGGAGTTGGCCAGCTATGCTGGCAGGTTGGGAAAGAGCTACTACGGTGACAGTGAGGGGAGAGTGTGGTGGGTACAGGAAGCCCTTTCTCTCAGGCTGGCCTGTGCGAGTGGGACCTGAAGGCAGTGGTAGGAAGGAGAGCCCTTGGCCGGACTCCGGATGATGCCTGGAAGAAACTGAGCAGGCGTGGCCAGATGGGTGGAGCCCCAGGCCACAGCTCTTTGGAGATGGGGGTTCTTGCCCCAGTGACAACCAGCGTTTACTGGAGGCCTATTGCCTACTGTGTGCCCTGGCCTTGAGTCCAGACCTACTGGCGACTCAGGGAGGGTGGAGCCCCAGCCCACCTCCTCATGGTCCTGGCCAGCTGGGGGGGGCCGCAGGCCCAGAGAAGGGGGAGAGAGGGACTGGACGTTACCAGGGGCTCAGCTCCAAGGCAGCCTGGCTCTGCCCTGCAACCGCACAACTCTTGCACACCTGCTTCCTTCAATGCCCTGGCGAGGTCTCCAGTCCCTCCGGCCATCCTGCCAGCCCGCGTACATGCTGCTCCCTCTGAAGGCGTGTGAGGCCGGTTGGGTGCGGGCTGGGCCTATTGGCGCCAACTTTGAGAGCCCTGGGCCAGTGGACACCCGTGTGGGCGGCAGAAAAGGGCTGCAATGTGGCGTGCGCCTCGCAGTGCTTACATAAGGGGGCGGCCTGGCCGCTCGGCGCACCAGACCAGACATTCCTGGTGGCCACAGTCTCTCAGCGACCCTCGCAAGGGTGTCTCCGCACGCCACAGCCCAGGGGTAGAAGCTCAATTGCCCGCAGCCTACGCACAAGGCACTGGCCCCACACCTGCAATTTGACCACGCCCACTCATTTGGCTCCGCCCCACACTGGGCCCGCATTGACGTTCTTGGCTCCGCCTCCGAGCTCAGGGCCCACCCTAACGCCCACGCCCAGGCTCCACGCTCTTCGCTCTTCCCAGCGCTCCCGCTTCCCGTCTCGCGGCCCGCCCAGGTCCTCTCTCGGCCCCGCCCCACTCTCTCGGGCCGCCCACGTCCCGGCCCCGCCCCCATCTTGGTCCCGCCCCCTCCCGGCCTGCCGCACGGTCCCGGTACGGCTCCCACGCTCCGAGCCCCGCCCTTCGCTCCAAGTTACGTCCCTCATCCCTGTCCCGCCCCACGTCCCGGCCCCGCCCTACGCTCTAGGCTTCGCCTGCGTTCCTGGTCCCGTCCCACCCCCACGCTCCGAGCCCCGCCTCATGCTCCGGGATCCTCTCGCAATTCCGCTCCGCCGGGCGCTTCGGCCCCGCCCCAAGTCCCTGCCCCGCCCCGCGCTCTCGCCCCGCCGCACGCTTAAGGTTGTGCTTCCCGTTCCAGCCCCGCCCCGCGGTTTCAGAAACGACTGCGTCTTGGCCCCGCCCCGCGCTCCGGGCGCGCCGCACGTCCGGCCCCGCCCCGCGATCTCGGCCCGCCTCACGCTCCGGGCCCGCCCCACGTTCTCGGCCTCGCCCCCACGCTCCGGGCCCCGCCCTGCGCTCCGGCCCCGCCCCCGCACTTCCGGGCGGCGCCGGCGGGGGCGCTCCGGCCTGGGCTTCGGTGCTCTGGGCTCGGGCTCCCCGCTCGGGGAAGCTTTTGCGGCCGCCGCCGCCGCCGCAGCCGCAGGACCGGCCGGAGTCGGGCCGGAGCCGCGTCCCCCGGTGCAGGCGGGTGAGAGCGGGCGGCCGGCCTCGGCGGCGCCCCCGCGGCCTGCCCCGCGCCCGCCTCCGGGTCGCCGCGCCGCCGCTGCGATGGGGGCCGCCCGGGGCCGCGCCCCCGCCCCGTCCCGCCGGCCGCGCCGCCGCTGAGCGCATGGGCCGCGCCGCGACGCTCCGGGAGCCGGGCCGGGGCGCCGCCGCCGCCGCCGCCGCCGCCACCGCCGCCGCCGCCGGTGAGTAGTGCGGGCCGGGCGCGCGTTCCTGCGGGGCGCGGGCCTGTGCGGCCGCCCATTGTAGGCCGCGTAGGCCGGGCCGGGCGGGACGGGCGCGGGACCCGGAAGAGGGGCTCGGCGGGTGCGGGCTCCGGGGGCGTGCGGGGCGGCGTGCAGCCGTGGGCAGGCTGTGCACCCCGGGTGCTGCAAGGGCAGGCGTGCCGAAGTGGGGGGTGCTGGCTCGGGATGGAGACGGCCGGGGCCGTTGATGCTGGGCTGTGTGAACCTGGCAAAGTGCGGGGTTTGCTTCAGAAAAGGCAGCCCTTGCTCTGGGTGAGCGGAGGGGTGTAAGGAAGAACCAGGATTCTGAGAAGGGGTGTGGGGGGCCCCTCCTGGAGGGGCAGGGTGCGCAGCCGATGTGTTTGATTGGGTGGTGCCAGCCTGTGGGCCTGGGGCGTGTTTCGCGTGTGCGTGGGGTGCAGGGATCCTGGAGAGAGGCTGGACGGTGGCGCATCCCTTCCCTGTCCCTCCAGCAAAAAGTAGGGATGAGGGGATCCGAAACCTAAGGAGGGCCCTCCCGCTGAGGCAGAGCTGCCTGTGAGGCCGGATCCAGGTGTGGTTTGGCTTGTCTCAGTGGCCGTACTCTTTCAGATTGATACCTTGTTCCCCAAAACTCTCTCTTGGGGGTGGGTCTTCGACCTCCACCCCACATTTTGGAATTCAGTCCCCCATGAAGCCGGACCTGCACGGCTCAGCTCAGCACTGAGGACAGTAGAGAAAACAAACTTCAATTCTCTGGGGATTTTTCTCAGCCCATCCCTAAGATAACTTACGAAGAGTTCTTACTGTTCATCTCAGCCCCTCCTTCTTGCTCGCCCGTATGTTCTCTGCTTCTTCAGGAAGAATCTCAGGCATATTTGGATCCACAGGCCTTGTTTTGGAGAATACACATGGTCTGAACCTGACCTCCCAGGGTAGCCGTATTTGAGTTTCAGTTTTGAGAACTTATATTGGGGGACAAGAATGGACAGGCATACAAAAAAATGTTTCTGTGGGATTTTCAGGAGGTGTGGGGGTTTCTTGGGTTTCTAGAGTCAGAAAAGTGAGTGGACTTTTTTGGGCTGCATTGGTCATTGAGAATTTAGATGGTGAAGGAGTGGATTACACTGTAAAACAGTGACCCTAACCCTTTCAGAGCTTAGTTAACGGACAGGAGAATGTCAGAGTCATGCTCTATTACTTCCGCACTGCGCAGAAATCAAGAGTTGAAAAGTTACATTTGAGTAAAATAAACAAACATATAGACATGTATAGCATTGAGCTGGCTGCCATGGCACCTGGGGGTGTATGCCTCAGCAGTGACTACAGGAGATTTTAAATGCCTTATCAGGGTTGTAGGTTACTTTTATGGAATCCTTTTATTGATGGTGGTTACAGGCTGTTGGCCAGATTCAGTGCTTGTGGGCATTTGACTCTACCCTGAGTTAACATTAACTGCTTTATGTGTGGTATGTACGTGTGTACGCTAAACGCTTGGTGTGCTTCTATGTGGAACCCAGAGATTGAGGGAGTTAGAGCGTGTTTCGATAACGTCAGTAATTTGGAGAGGTGTTCATATGCTTCCGGGGACACCAAAGGTCTTCTGTCAGTTGACAGCCAAAAATAGATGTGAGTTATAAGAACTATTTCTTCCGGGCAATGAAAAATAGTTTAAAATGATTAGGGGGACTTGTTCACACGTGAATTAAGATGTTAGTTTTTAGAGACAGCCCCAGTTTTGTAATAAATGGCTAGATCTTGAGTTTTGTTGTTGTTTTTATAGCACAGTAGTTCAGCATCTATGAAGGGCTAACGTTTGGCATCTATGACGGTTGGCATTTGCCTTCATGTCAATGAATGAAATTATTTATTGGTTGCAAGACCTTATGCTAGGTGCTGTGGGTCCTTCAGAAAATGTTTAATCAGGCTGCTACTAATAATTTACACAGGAGATCGCGTCTTCAGAGCAGGTGACAGTGACTTGTAATTAACCTCCCTTTGGAACACAGTGACTCAGTTCTTTCTGAGGGCTGGTGAAGTAAAGAGTATCTCTGAGAGTAGGGCTCAGGGGGCCAGGCGTGGGCCCTCCTTCCTAAGAAGGCGTCTTGGACAAGAGGACATTAGAGATCCATGAGCTGGTGTGGAGCTAAGACACCACAGGTGCTCATTCATGTTGACAGGGCTCAAAGAAAGCGACTTTGCAGTTGAAGTGGTCCCTGACGGCAGGGTGCCACAGTCCATGGGCCTTGACCTTAAGAAGCAGGCTGTTCCTGCTGAGATTACAGCCTACCCAGTAGTTTTCACAAAAAGTCATTAGCTGCAGAAATGTCATTTGGGGCACATTATTTTGACCAACCATTCTCTGTCTCTGTTTCGCTTCTAGCCATCAGCTGCTGCTGGCTGGGGCGGTATGTACAGTGTGAGAATGCAGGTGTGGGGCGGATTACATGTAGGCCCTGGCCCAGAGTGTGGAGTGGTGGCCAGGGAGAGCTACCCTTTGTGTTGGCACCAGGTTTTAGGGGTTTATTTTTCTTCCTCTGGCTTGTTCAGGCATTTGGACTTGACATGCTTCTCTCCAGCCTGTTTCTAGCCAGACCACTTTGATCACGGCCGGCCACCAGGTTGGGAGGTGTAGCTCAGCTCGTGGGCTCTGTGAGCTCCTGTAGGATATGGCAGGGAGGACCGAAGACTATGAAAGAGTCCGGATCCAGGAGAGCCTTCCTTTACACCTACGGCAGGCCTGTCGCAGCAGCAACGACAAAACCACAAAACCCGTAGTCCCCTGACCCCTAAGAGGGTGGGTAGTTTGGATTTGAGCTTATGGAAGTAGATCATGTGAGCTGTATGCTTCCTTAGCTAAAATGTATAATTGTATTTGGCCTTCATTTTCTTTTTCTATACCTTCTCCGTTCTTTAGAGTACTAAATTGCCGTTTGCTATCAGAAGGACACTTTTTTTTTTTAAGATTTTATTTATTTATTTGACAGAGACACAGCGAGAGAGGGAATACAAGCAGGGGGAGTGGGAGAGGGAGAAGCAGGCTTCCCTCTGAGCAGGGAGCCCGATGCGGGGCTCGATCCCAAGACCCTGGGATCATGATCTGAGCCGAAGGCAGACGCTTAACGACTGAGCCACCCAGGTGCCCTGGACACTTTCCTTATAAACGAGGTCAAAGGCAGCATTCTGGTGGAAGCATTTTTCAAGATTGTCCACACTGGTGGTATGAGATGACCACTGTGTGTGTGGGGGGGGACGGGGTGTCCTTTGATCACTTGGTTGAAGGTGCTGAAGGTGACCCGCAATTGTTCGTGTAGGTGTATGTTGAGAGTTAAAAGAACACCTCCTTGTGTGTTTGCACCTGTTAGGAGGCATACCAAGTGTGAAGTGATGGGGTAGGCAGAAGGCACAGTGGCTGTGGGCCTAGAGAATGTGGGAAGCAGACGTGACACCTGCCTGATGGTGTGTGATGTTCCATAGCTTTCTGTATCTGAATATCACAGCGACCCTGCAGTGCAGGTAGGCGATCATCCTCATTCATCTTACATGGGAGGAACCAGCTCTCATCCAAGTTTATACAGCCAGGAGGACTAGAAAGCATATTTCTTTCCTCCCATCCTCCTGCCTCCCTGGAGCTTGCAGGGAAGGACTGGTTGTGGCAAGATGGGAGGTCCCTAGGCTGCTAGTCTCCATGATGTTCTCACAGAATGACACCTGAGGGAGTGGCGCTCTCCCTGCTCTGGGTGCTTAGTTTTTAGATTCAGAGGCATTCCTGTAGTTAAAAGTTCCCAGAAATTGTTTTAATATAGCACAAACCTTGTGGCAAAAGATTGAAAATTTAAACTGAATTTCTGGCTTTGAGTTCGAGCGGGAGGGCATCATTACGAGTCTTGTCTTGAGAAAACCTCTGTGGTCATGTTTCCGTGGACCCACGTTTCCTAATCCTTGTCCTCTTAATGGTTTCAACAGGACAGATTGATTCACTTTGGAGCTATAAGTACTGATGTATTAGGGTGCAGCGCTCATTGTTCATTGACGCACAGAGTCCCAAAATGAATATCCAAGAGCAGGGTTTCCCTTTGGACCTTGGAACAAGTTTCACCGAAGATGCCCCCCGACCCCCAGTGCCTGGTGAGGAGGGTGAACTGGTGTCCACAGACCCCAGGCCCGTCAGCCACAGCTTCTGCTCCGGGAAAGGTGCCGGGGTTAAAGGTGAGACTTCAGCAGCCACTCCCAGGCGCTCGGATCTGGACCTGGGGTATGAGCCTGAGGGCAGCGCCTCACCCACCCCACCATACTTGAAGTGGGCCGAGTCGCTGCACTCCTTACTGGACGATCAAGATGGAATAAACCTGTTTCGGACTTTCCTGAAGCAGGAGGACTGTGCTGACCTGCTGGACTTCTGGTTTGCCTGCAGCGGCTTTAGGAAACTGGAGCCCTGTGACTCGAATGAGGAGAAGAGGCTGAAGCTGGCCAAAGCTATTTACCGCAAGTATATCCTTGATAACAACGGCATCGTGTCCAGGCAGACGAAGCCAGCTACCAAGAGCTTCATAAAGGACTGCATCATGAAGCAGCTGATTGATCCTGCCATGTTTGACCAGGCCCAGACGGAAATCCAGTCCACCATGGAAGAGAACACCTACCCCTCTTTCCTCAAGTCTGATATTTATTTGGAATATACGAGGACAGGCTCAGAGAGCCCGAAGCTCTGTAGTGACCAGAGCTCTGGGTCAGGGACAGGGAAGGGCATACCTGGATACCTGCCCACTCTGAATGAAGATGAGGAATGGAAGTGTGACCAAGACCAAGATGAAGACAGTGGCAGAGACCCTGCTCCCCCTGGCAGGCTCACACAGAAGCTGCTTCTGGAGACGGCCGCCCCGCGGGCCTCCTCAAGTAGACGGTACAGCGAAGGCAGAGAATTCAGGTGAGTCAGATGCAGGGCGTCCGTGTCTGTGCTCACATCCGAGACCTGGAGGACTGGCAAGGGAAAGGTGTCGGGAAGGAGCGGTCTTGTCTCTCAGCCCCCAAGTGGGTATGCTCCTGCTGCTGGGGGTGAGTTGTGGTGTTCGTTCTTCTTCATGATACCTTCACGTTTGTCATTAAATGTTTTTAATATTTGTGAGTTGAGGACACTTTTGTTAAGAGCAGTCTAAATAATATATGGCTTTGTATCCCATTAAGAGTCTTGGAAGTCTAAAAGTCTTGACATTCGAACTTACCCTTTAGCAGTAACATTTGTACTCTCTTGCATAGGAGGTGGGCTTACTCCATTGATGCAATCCTTGTGGCCTAATAGAGGAGTGGACATGTAAAAGCATCAATCCGTAGAGAATTCTGGATCGTTGCATTTTTGTGACAGTTTTCCAAGATTCTTCCTGGAGGTTGGGAAGTGTTGGCGGGAGGCTGCCATGCAGCAAATTGTCAGAGCACTTTGGGAACCTCCTGTGAATGTAGTTCTAGGGGTGGACCATTCTCCCTTCTGCTGACAACATGAGTGCTGTTGTGTGGTCCATTCCCAGTGGCATTAGCATTTGTGGGTATAACTTGTGCATATAGCCACATTGCAACTTGGAAGGTGCCAGTGGTGCGATCAAGAGGTTGTTCCAGCTTGGGAAACCCGTATCTTCATTCTCTTTTCTTGGTAGTCCCTTCTGTGCTTACTGGAGATTTATTTGGTATGGGTTGGAGCCTCTTGCCGGTGCGAGCGATGTTGGCAGGGCACTTCTGTTTCCCACTCATTTCCCTGTAGCTGGTCCCAGGGACATCTGCCTGTGAAACTTTCAAAGTGGGGAATCCGCCTGACCCTTGCTGATTTAATCAGTCAGAATCCTCTCCTCTCCTGTGGTATTATTAAAACCTGGATCATTTCTTCAAGCTTATGGTGGTAGAGAAACTGGCTACTTGCTAATAAACACAGGACTAAACATTTCTAAGGGTTTTTGTTTTTTTTTTAAGATTTTATTTATTTATATGAAAGAATTAGAGACAGTGAGAGAGGGAACACAAGCAGGTGGAGTGGGAGAGAGAGAAGCAGGCTTCCTGTGGAGCAGGGAGCCCGATGTGGGGCTCGATCCCAGGACCCTGGGATCATGACCTGAGCTGAAGGCAGACGCCAAATGACTGAGCCACCCAGGCACCCTAAACATTTCTAAGGTTTAAATATCATTTAAGTGATGTGATTCAAGATATAGCATTTGAAGTAATTTTTGTGTGCCTTTTGCTCATTGTCTTGAGCTGAACACTTGATATAGCAAGCTTTTTAGAGCAGAACTTGCCATAAAATTATTCTAAGTAAGGCTAGTAACTGATACAATTTTTGTTTTATTTATTTTTTATTTTTTTAATTTTTAAAAAGATTTTATTTATTTATTTGACAGAGAGAGAGGGAGTGTGCACAAGCAGGGGGAGAGGCAGGCAAAGGGAGAAGCAGGCTTCCCGCTGAGCAGGGAGCCCGATACGGGACTCGATCCCAGGACCCTGGGATCATGACCTGAGCCGAAGGCAGACGCTTAACCGACTGAGCCACCCAGGCGCCCGACACAGTTTTTAAAACCCAATCTAAAATGATTTAATTGGAACAGTTTTAAGATGGGATTAAATCGGAGGCCTGGGCTTCAGGGGGAAAATTTTGAGCTCAATTCTGACTCCTTTCTTCCTTTCTGTCTTTCTGTCTTTTTTTCTTTCTTGATTTTACTTCTAAATAATTTCTACAACCCAGGGTGGGGCTTGAGCATAGAACCCCAAGATCATGTCATATACACTACCAGCTGAGCCGGCCAGGTGCCCCAGGGCTCAGGAATTTTTTAAGTCAGAAATCAGAATTGGCTGGCTCAGTTGGTGGAGAGAGTGACTTTTGATCTTGGGGTCGTGAGTTCGAGCCCCAGTTTGGGTATAGAGATTACTTAAAAAAAAAAAAAAAATTCCTGAGCCCCATTCTGCACTTTTTTCAGTTCTCAAACAGCAACTTTGCTTTTTCTTTCTTTGGTTTGCTCTATTTGTAATACACAATGTTTGCTTTTAAATTAATAGAATATGTTGGCATCACTTGTTTAAGTGGGTTGAGCTCTAAGGACTGTGGTACATTTTAGTTTTGACTTGCTTGTCATGGAGCTGCTGGTGGCAGAGCAAGGCTGAAGTTTGAGAGTCCCATCTGCAGTTGAACACCATGCCGCTCGAGGTTGCTTGTGATGCTTTTGTGGGTGGCGGATCTCTGATGTCAGGGGCATCATTTACTAGTACTGACAGGGTGTGGCGTCCAGCACATTCTACTTGTCCGGCAAGGGTGTGCACTTAGGATGCACTAGGTTGGAAGTCACAGAAAGTCCAGCCCACCCTGGCTTAAACAGTGAAGGGGATTGGTTGACTGAGATCAATGAAAAGTCCATAGGCAGGGCCAGCCTCAGATGTGGTTTGATCTGGACTCCAGCCATTTTTCTTTTAAAGACTTTATTGTTTTAGAGCAGTTTGAGGTTATCAGCAAAAATGAGAGAAAGGTACAGAGGTTCCCCTCACCCCCACCCCCACAAACACACAGCCTCCCCCATTATCAGCACTCTGCACCAGAGCAGTGCGTCTGTTAGAGCGGACAGAACTACATCAACACCATTACCACCCAAAGTCCGCGGTTTGCATCGGGGTTGGTGCCTGGCGCTGGGCACGCTGGGGGCTGGATGAAGGTGTGGTGACGCGGAACCAGCATCATAATGTCGTGCAGAGCCGTCCTGAAAATTCTCTCTGCCTCTGCCTATTCATCCTGTCCTCTCCCCCAACCCCAGGAAGCTGCTTTTGCCTTCTCCAGAACGTCGTGCTCTTGGAATCATACAGCGTGTGCCTTTTCTAACTGGCTTCTTTCACTTGGTGACCTAATGTTCCTCCATGTCTTCCCATGGCTTGTAGCTCATTTCTGTTTAGCGCTGGATGATAGTTCATTGTGTGGATGGACGACAGTTAATTTATGCGCTTGCCTGCTGAAGGACGGCTCCATTGCTCCCAAGTTCTGGCAATCATTAATAAAGCTGCAGTAAACTTCTGTGGTGCAGGTTTTTGTGTGGACAGAAGTTTACACCTCCTTTGGGTAAACACCATGGAGCGCGATTGCTGGGTCATAAGGTGAGAGCACATTTAGTTTTGTAAGAAACTGCTGCTTCTCTTCTTTGTCTCTGCCTTCCCGTGGCCAGTTTTGCTGGGGCAGGTTGGAGGTGGTTACTGTAGTGACCTTGGGCTCCGGGCTCCCTTGCTTTGTAAACAGACACTGCCCCCAGCATTCGAAGGAGGTCCTGCATTTTGCTCTGTATGGCCAGGGGTTCTGTGTGCCTCTGTCCTGACTATTCCAGCATAATCTTTGTGCAAAGGCCCGGGACTGTGCTGCTGGGCTTCGCATCAAGTAGGGTAAACCAGAAGGCACAGAAGGTGCCCACTGCTCCCCAGTGGTGGACATGGTCCTCCAAAGGAAGGGAAGAGGAGGGTGGGTGCTGCCTGCTGCTAAGGGGGCTGGGGGCTGGCCTGAAATCTCCTTATTGGGGGATGCACTTCCTGTGGGCAGCAGGTGCCTCCCATAAGCATTGATTCTTCATGGAGAAGTGTGTCTGGAGGGCCATTATTTAGGGTCTCCCGACCTGAGCCCTACAGTCCCATAGGTTCTCCATCCTGGGGCTGGTCTGATTGTGTTCTCTGGTGTTGTTCAACCTCCCTGACGGGGCATGGCTCTTTCCCCATAGGAGGCCTGAGTGTCAGTCTTCATTTGGCCGTGCAGGTGTGCACGTGGCTGTTCTTCATACAGCCAACTTGTGAAAAGTTAAATGAGCATTATGCTTAGGTCTCTGTCAAAGCTCAGAAAACACCCGTGCCCCTGGCCTTTTTCTGCATTTATCCTGCTCACCTGGGGTCCTTTTGAGCCCCTGGGCCAAGGGATCCCAGAATTCCTTGCTCTCCGTGTCTCTGCAAATTCTGTTCTCTGTGTCTCTGTAAATTTTCCCAGTCTCTATTGCCATAGTCAGTGAACTTTGAACATAACTTTGGTTGGTTCACACCCACCATTTTAAGTGGTGTGAATTGACAAAAGGTTCTCTGATGATGCATGTGATTTGACATTAGGGCCCAAGGGCTGTAAGACATAGCTGGCAGGCTCAGGTTTTACTCCCCCATCAGACGTGTGGCATGGGGGCGCCTGGGCATCTGCCTTTGGCTCAGGTCCTGATCCCAGGGTCATGGTATTGAGCCCCTTGTTGTGTAGCGCGTCAGGCTCCCTGTTCAGCTGGGAGCCTGCTTCTGCCTCTCCCTCTGCACCCCCTGCCCCCTGGCTAGTGTGCACAAGCTCTCACTCAAATAAATGAATAAAATCTTTTTTTTTTAAAGATTTAATTTATTTGACAGAGAGAGCATAAGCAGGAGAGTGGCAGGCAGAGACCAGGTCAGGGCTGGTCGTCATGGTCATGGCCAGAGAGTAGACCGTGGATACCCTTCATAGCGGGAGCAACTCAGCACTTAAAGGGCCGACAACCAGGGTGTTTGGCGGCTCGGTCGGCAGAGCGTGCGACTCTTGATCTCAGGGTTATCTGTTTGAGCCCCACGTTGGGTGTAGAGATTACTTAAAAATAAAAAAATTAAAAAGTAAAGGTTGGACAACTGGCCCTTCCTCTCCAAGGTCCCTTCGGAGTTTGGCTGAGGAACTGTCTGACCTGTTTCTTGGCTTTTTGATTGTATTTCTGGTAGTGGCTTAAAAGGTCAAGAGAGGAAATGTAAAAAGAGGAAATGCGGGCGCCTGGGTGGCTCAGTTGGTTAAGCGACTGCCTTCGGCTCAGGTCATGATCCTGGAGTCCCAGGATCGAGTCCCGCATCGGGCTCCCTGCTCGGCGGGGAGTCTGCTTCTCCCTCTGACCCTCCTCCCTCTCATGTGCTTGCTCTCTCTCATTCTCTCTCTCTCAA